CTTTAAAACGCTGATGGTTCTCACTGCACGTCCTGGCAGTGTATGATTAATGGGACAAACGTGTTCCTGTGGTGTTTCTCAGCTTGCAGGCAAGTATTTTAATTCCTCTGTATTAGTCCTTTGATGGATGTTATGAGGATATGTGCTTACTGAAGGGGAATGGTAACCTGCTCTTTGCAAGTTCCAGTTTTAACCATTTAGGAGCTCAGAGCAAAGAAATTCACTCTATCTCTCTTTTCCTATTTCTTTTCTAAAGGTTACCCTTCTACTCCCCACATTGCTCCTTCTTTTTTCTCTTCCGTCATCACATAATCAGTCTTGCAATTTCCCCATCCTACCTTCTGAGTTGCAGGTGAGGGAAGGGAACATTCAGCCCTTGACCTCTTCTAGAAGTGTTTCTGAAAGGCTAGCAGATTTACTGAAATGTTTTATCCATTTTACAAATTGGAGCTAAATGCCATGCCCTCCCCAAGCACAGCCAGTCAGGATCTGCTGTTGCTAAAACTTAGATCATGACCTTATGCTTGGGTGGTGAAGGTGTAAGTTATGCTTTATATTGACTGAGAATTTTAGTTGGATAGTGGAGGATAAAGGTAAATGCATGGGAATTAGCTGACAGATTTTCATCTCTGATCGAGTTTGAGGAAGCAACAAAGTGAAACCATATACAATTTGTCTGGTAGTGAGTTTTACAATTGCAGGTTACATATTGACAGAGGTATTTATGATGAAGTTTGATTTGGATAAGCACCCATGTGCTCAATGTTGATCCTGTCTGCTGCTTACTGACTAATTGTGCTTAGCTTATCAGCCACTCAGGCTTGTATTATGGGAAGGCTTGAGGACATAAAGCTTGTTCAGTTTTCTGAATGGTAAAGGAGGCTGATCTAAATTTTGCTTGTGAATCTAGATCACAGGCCCTGCCAGGTTCCAGGATGGCCAGAAATCCGGGTGAGAAGAGGATCAGCAACAGGTTTCTGATTCTGTGATCATTGCATTTGAACCCACAGCTGGAATTCTCATCCTTTTCTAGTGATGAGATGCTAGTGGCAGCAATTATACTGTATTATAACTATTTTTTGCTTACTAACACACAGAAATTTCGTAAAAATTTTCTGTGCATTGGGGGCCTCAAGCTGCAGGACACTTGAAAGAGAAGATCTTCCAGTCAGATGCTTTCTACAGGCACAGCTTCAGTTAAGTCTATGGAAGCTATCTATTAAATGTAGACAGGCATGTGCAAGAGTCAGTAAATAAAAAGTTCTGTAAAAGATGTTCTTATGTTGTGGGGAAAAATAAGTTTTCCAGGGCACGTTTGTCCAGATCACTGCTTGCTAAAAGGCATTTTTTGTTGCTCTTGATGTTTTGTTCTCTAAATGCTTCTTGCCTTTGTTTAGAGAGAAATATACCAATAAACACAGGGGTTTGGCTTTGGATTCAGAATGCTGTGGTTAAGTGATGTTTAGGTCTGTTTATCATCATTTCTCTGTGAGCAAACAGTTACAATCTCAATTTCGAGCATAAACTGGTCAGAGTCCACTGCAGGGTAATTTACAGTGCTGCTCAGTCAGTTCCTTTCCTAACATACTTTAAAGAGATGGGAAAACACCCCACACACAGGTTAGGCAGAATCTGCTGTGATAGAAGGATGAAGGTAGCTATTTGCTAACCTTTTAACCCAGGGTGAACTGGTTCACCAGTCAGTAAGCAAAAGCCTGTTTATTCTCAAAAGATTTACTTTTACTATTAAAGGTTGAGACCCCAGCCCAGAGCAGGGGAGGGGTGAGGGGACATAATTTGTTCAGAGAAGGATCTGTCCAAAGTGTTTGGAGAGGGAGGAAACTGAAAGGGAAATTTTCTGTACCCGGGACATACTGTTGAAGCCTTTTGTGCTGGGTTCAGCCCTGCAACTGATCACCTGTAGTCATTCCACTGCCAGTTTTCAACAGATAGGAGGAGATGTTCAAGTGCCCATATTTGCCTGGGTTAAGGAATGAGTCTATACAAAGCTCAACTTACTTGAAAATCAGGGAACTTCAGCTCTGGTTCTAACTTTGATACTAGGCCCTTTCTGTACAAATAGGCAAAGCAGTTTCCTAGATCTGAGCTCCCTCAGACACGTCTGCTGAAGTATACTTTACATTAGCTAATATTACGTGTAAGTCAGTGTCTAAAAATACCTGCACCCTATGGGCACTCACCAGAGCTGCGCAAGCCAAGTTTGCTCACAATCAGAGATGGGGAGGCATATTTTCTGAGTTCATGTGGGTTCACCATTCCTGTCTGTTGCAACCGGATTCAAGACTGAATTTGACCTGAGTTAGATGCCAAGCCTGAGATATGCCTGGATTTTCAGAGGTTGTGTGAGCTGTAGTGAACTTCCCAGCTGGTCTCAAGGCTTGTAGTGACATGTAGAGGCAGGATCCTTTCTCCCTGTTCTGGTACCTGCAGCAGAATAACTGTGGTGGTGCTAGCTCATGAGAGCTTTACTCAGTCTCTCTCCATACAATGGCACCAGGAAAGAAAACACCTCCAGCTCCCCAGCAGCAAGTTCATGTGAGATTTACTTGCTAAACAGTTTCAGAATCCTAAGTTGTTCTTTAGGAAGAGCTGCACAGTGGTAAAGTTTTCTACAGCTAAACAAATTCACACCAATGGGAAAAGAGGGTGTTCAGTCCCCAGTACCCCTTTTCACCTTGGCACGTGTGTATGGGGAGATCTGCAAGGGAAAATTTTGATGGTAGTTGATATGCAGTGTGGCTAGCTCTCTGGATTTTATTGCTATTCTTGCAGTATCAAGTACACTTGTGTAGTCTGTAGCCCCTGCAATCCAGTGATTTTGTGTGAATCTTGGATTTTATTTTTGAGAAATATGGTTAACAGAGAAAGCAGGATCCAAGTGTGACCTGGAATTTCAAAACACAGAAGACAAATTATATATATAGATAGATAATGATTTTTATTCTGTGGTCTAAGTCATGGTTTTTAACACAATGCTTTGAAAAGGATTGAGAATTGTTTCATATAAGGACAAAAGGTGATAATGTTGGAGTGTGTAGATATGCAGTACAATGTTGCATTCTTTTCACGGGGCGCCTATAGCTGCAGAGTTAAAATGTGCAGAGAACATCACTGAAGCAACTGCCATTTTATGTTCTCCTCATGATGCTCATGTGAGCAAGTATGTGCTCCTGCTTTTTTTCTCTCACCAGAGCTGTGTGTGCTCTTTCTTTGGAGAAGAGTTTACATCGTCTTTGTCATCTCTCATACAACTCACAGTATTATAAGCTATGCTGAAGTCTAATGATGCTTTGAGTCATGCTGTGTCCTTGGCCACAGAAAGGCTTTGAATTTCAGAAGTTAATGATACACTGAGTATAACAATATCCATGTTAAACAACATTACTTTCATTTCATTGTATATCTCCTTGTTCTTGTGTTTTGAGAGATGGAAAACAGAAATGGAGAAGTGAATGGAAGAATCAAAGTCTGCATTTGCTATCTTCTGGGCTCCCATCCCAAACATTGAGTCCCAGGCTCCATAATGTTATTAGCAGACGTGACACGTTTTGAGGCATCGTTCCAGGGAATAGTGCCAAAAATCCTGATGATGTCTCAGCCATTCAGAAAAGGATTGGTCCTGCTCGCCAGTTAACACTGTGGGAAGGCTCTCCTAACGTGCAGCCAGCTGTGCTCACCACAAGGGAAGAGAGGATAATAAAAGGGTGAAGAATACCCAGGTTCTCATTTAATTTGTACCTTTTGTTTAAGGATCTATATCACTTTCCAAATGTTTTTTAGTAGGCTAAAGGTATAACTTGAATAGCTAAGGAATACCTTACTACCTTGCCATTCAAGAACCAGAGCTTTTGAACCTGTTACTGCCTTCACCTTTAGTGAGGGACAGTTATTTCTTCAGGAGCTTTTGATCAAAACAGAAAACAGACAGAATTTGACCTCAAGTTTCCTGAGTTGCGGGACAGCACTGTCTTGGTGAACCACTAAGTTCAGATGAGTGTGGTCTATACAGTGACCACAGACATGGTATTTTAATAACAGAAGCAGATGAGCAGCTGCAGACAGGGATAACATTTTTTTCTTTTTCCTGCAGAGGGAGAAGTTGTTAGTCAAACTTGAGAAAATTCCTCAGAAACTTGGTGCAAACTGGGTGGTGACTGCTGCAGATCTGCAGTCACATGAGTGCATTTTGCAAATGGACGGAGGGCTGACCTCTGTATAACTCCATGGGGCACTGTGTGATAAGCATTTTTCTTAACTACAGGCTTCTTACACCTTGAGAGCAGGAGCCGAGGGTGTGAATGTTTTCCTTCAAGCAAGTCCTGAGGATTGGTTCATGTATAAGGAGCTCTCAGTTCTTTCCCCTACCAGTTATCCCTCTGAGCTATTCTCATCAGGCAACTTCTCTGTAAAGGGCTAAAGCAGTGACTGTAAGCACAAAAAAGCTGCACAAGTCAAAGATTGTAGCTTTACCTAAGCTGTGTAAAACTTTCCAAGACGTCCCAGAGCTGTGGAGATACTCTCAGAGCACGCTAAGGCTAAGGTGGGGGGATGTTTGAGAGGGGTTTCTGCTTCTGGTGCTTTGCAAGCAGCTCAGAGGCCAGACCAGGGCACCCGGTTGCCTGCAGCACAACTAACATTGCCTGTATCAGGAAGGGATCCAGAGTGTGGCATGCAGACAGCAACTGTTGCTCAGCTTTTCCAGCTATCTAGAATAGATCTGACAAGCAATTAGAGCATGAATATATTACAGAGCCGATGGGGGATGCCTTTGTTAAAACTTGTGACCCATACTTAGCTGCTGTTTACATTGGCGGCAGCTTCGAGGGTGGGCAAGACCCTACCTGCCTGTCTTTCTCCTCTCTCCTTCCCCGAGCAGAGGGAGCCAGGGAGCTCTGCATCTCATTGGATATTTCAAATGCTTTCTGCACAAGTCATAATTAATGCTGAGTTGCGGAGCTAAGACCAGATGTGCTGCTGAGATTATCTCCCGGGGCAGATCGGCTGCTCTCCGCTCTGTAGCGCTGGGTGAATGGAAAGCTGCCAGTGCTGGGACTCAGAATGTGTCTGATGCCTGAAGTCAGGACTTTCTTTCTCTGCCGCTCCTGCTGTCTGACACTGCCCGGTTTCTGCTTGAAGCTCAGCGCCTGTCATGTAGCGGAGTGCTGCACAAGAACGAGAGGTATGAGGTGATTTTTCAGAGTTTAGATATGTTATGGTTTTCTTTTTCCTAGAGGAAAAGCAGATATTTGAGCTTAGCCTCACACAGAAGCTAAGAATCTAAAAAAGGAGCTCGTTTTACAATAGGGGGGAAAGAGAGGGAAGGACCCAGTCTATGGCCAAAAATACTACTGGATGCCAGGCTTGCATTTGAAGATAGTTCTGAGGAGGTGTGTTTTTATTTGCTTTTACACAGGATATTTAAATAGATGTATGTGGATGAGAGCCATCAGCTTCTAGTATATGGAGGCTGCTGTTTGTGGGGAATGGGGTCAGAGGACACCAAGTTCTACAACAGACCCATTTGTGTGACTTTGGGCAAGTTACTTGATCAGTTTCTCTTGATTACTAATTATCTGTCACTTCCTTTCCTTTCCTTTCCCTCATTCTTACATGCGTTGCCTGGCTGGACTGTTTAGTTGTTTGGGACTATCTTTTCTTAGGCACATATATCTCCTAACGTGTAACTCCTTTTTCAGTTACTGCTGCAATAATTCACATAGTGTGTGCTTGGGTGGGCCAGGGAAGGGGAAAAAGAGTTATAGGTTTGTGTGTGTATTGTGCTGTGGAAGCATATGCATTTCTGAATGTCTGCCCATTATTTTTTCTCAGTGCTTTCATGTGTGAGAGGGATAGATAAATGAGAGCCTAAGCATGAAAGTAGGAAGGTAAAAACAGACGCTTACCTGTGCAGGTGAGCACGTACACAGTCTTTACATCCATAAACTGCCTGTCTGTGAGGCACCACATGCATGCGCGGGTGTATGTACTGCTGTATAGCAGCATCCAGGTGTGTGCTTGGTTATCTTCCCACACATCTTTTAATGTGTGTGTGCTAAGCTGTGCATACAGCTGACATAGGTGTGTCTAGACTTTTTGCACTTTAAGTGCATATGGAATCCTTAGTCTTCCCCGTAAAGAAAATCTACTCAAGAATTGGCTTTATTATCTCTGTCTGTAGTTTATTTTGGTTGAAATCAGAGCTCTGATGAGGAAAAATGAAGCAGGGAGCATATATTTTCCTGCCCACTGCATGTCTGGACAGCATAGCTGAATGTATAGGCTTTGTATGCCTGGAGCTGGTGGGTGAGCTATTCAGGCCAGGACAGAGAGCCTGTCTGTGTCTTAGTACATCATTCCTGGCTCACTTTTTCCACAAAGAGCCACCTAAATCTTTAAAGAACAGAGACAGCTTGTTGGAGTAGAGGAAAGAAATTTTGTAGTTCTGCTAGCCCATTTTTTTAGTATCTCTTGGATCTTTCTGAGATTAAGGATGTGGTCCCAGGCATGCTGGGGTTTTTTTTCTGCTTTGAAACCAAACAAAAGGGCCTAGCTATAGATAAGCGTATGACAAGGAAAGTTAACCCTTGTGTTGCAAATAGTTTTTGGCTTTATGACCAAATTAACTCTGTCTGGGAGTGTAACTGGATGGCACTGACTCCCTTTCTTCTGAATGAAAAGAAAGATTTTAATGTCTTCCAGCAGGATCATCAAGTGGAGTGAAGTGCTGCCAAGTTCAGTCTGAGCTGCAGGCCCCAGTGATTAAAAACAGGCCTGTGCCTTGAGGAGCCGGCAGATGAGGCTGTGTGTGACTGGCTCCATGCTAGCTTTTCCTTGCAAGGCAGGACAATCCCTGTCCAGGCTGGCAGTGCTGTCATATCCTGGTAGTTCCAGGGACATTTTACTGCATCATTTTTACAAGCCCTTCTGAGACGTAGCTGAAGTGAGATGAGCTTTACAGAGCTAGCAAGACACCACCTCCTCAGTCTGCCCTGGTTAGCCCTGGGAGACTGAAGTCGGTCCATCTGCTGTGTGTCTTGCCAGTGTAGCTGTGGGAGCCCTGGCAGTTATTTGACTTCATGGCCCTCCAGCAGATGCCCAGATGAAAGATTTCCGCAAGCCCAGAACTGTCAGTAGCTCCAGCTTGCCTTTGACAGTCCCTTTCCAGCCCCACTCCAAAGAGCTCTTAGCTTGCTCCTCCTCTGAACCCTAACACTAATTGCCTTTTCTAAGCCATGGACAAGCTTTGCGGCCACTGCACAGATGAACAGTTTCTCCGAGGCCAACTTTCCAGCCCCACTCTTAACTGCAGTTCTGTGCTTTCTCTCTCTAAACCCCAACTCTAATGCTCTTACTGCCAAAAGACTTTGCCTGGGTGTAATCTTTCTTCTAAGCAGTGGCTGGGGGGTCCTTCTCTATAGCTCAGCAAAAAAAAAATTAGGGCTAGGATAGAGAGAAAGAAAAAGCATGGGGCTGCAGTGTAAATTGGGCTGCAAAGGGAAAGTTGCAGTTACCAAAAGATTTGGTGTGGGTGAAATATTTTGTCTGTTCAATGCTTGGTGACCTTTTCTAGTGCTTCCCTGGAAAATTAGGGTTCAGGGTTGAGGGAGAGAGAAAACATGGATCTGCAATTGGAGCTGGGCTTGAATGAGGTTGCCAAACCAAGGTGGGAGGCAGCCAAGGGAGCTGGGCTGGGAGAAGTCTTTCATACTGGCAATGGCTTCAGGGTCTTTCCTTCCCCTCAACAAAAAATTACCTGTGAGGGCTGTGTGATCTCACCTACGCAGCCCTTCAGTACACACTGTCACATGAGAAGAAACCCACACTTGTCCCAGCTCCTTTCACTCATGTGGTGAGTAGATCAGCTTCACCCTCAGTCATGTCAGTCTTGGTTTCATGGCTGGTTCTTCTTGTTACCTATTCGAAATGGTGTGAGGGGAGGTGAGCAGTATTATAGTAGAAGAATATTACAGCGCCTGTGTATCCTCCAAAGGTCGCTATTTCCATCCAGAAGATGTTACCAACCTCTGTGTCTGAGAAGGGGTAAGGTAGAGTCCCCAGCATCTGGTTCTGCAGTAGACACCCACAGTAATGCTAAGTGCTTGTGAAAGGTCCATGTGCTGCTCTTTCTGAATCTGAAAGCAAGTGACCTTTCTATCTCTGTTATCTTAGCATCACATTCATTAACCTCTGTGCCAGTGGTCTCTGTTAGGCTGTAGTCAACTTGTTACCCAGGGGTCACTGACAGTTTGAATGTACCTAAAGGAAGCTATTGGTGTTGTGATCCAAATGGACTGGGAGGGCAAGGACTGATGTTGCCTGGAATGTATTAGAGCATGTTGCTAGCCACGGACCAGCCAAGGCTAAGGAAAAGCAGACAAAGCTTCACACTGCAAATGGAGAGTATACACACAGTTATTCTGTATGTCCTTGCATGTGCGTGTCTGACTCTGCCTTTGTCCTTGCTCTGGGTTAGTCTAGAACACCAGAACACAGGCCTTTGGAAAAACATTATCTCTGTGCTCTGTACCAGGAGAATGGAGAGCATTTACCTCTTTCCCAGAGCCTTCTCTAGACAGGCCCTTTGGGAAACAGGACTGTGAGTCAACAAGGGGAGATTTGAGAAAACAGGGCTGCTGTCCTGTAATTGCTCTGACATCTACCACAGCCTGACCTCCTTAAACCTGTATGTCTTGCATCTAGAAGAGTGAATACTGTGTGTCATTTTAAGGAAGTAGATGGGTTTGGTGGGAGGAAGGCTGGCTCAGAGATTGATTTTAGGATATGGAGTTTTTTGTCTCTAAGCTGCACAGCTAGGAGTCTGACTCAAGCTTGCTGTAGCTAATGCTCAAGGACCTTGGTTTGTATTGGCCCATGGTCCAGGATCAAACATTCAGGTCAGAGGAAAAGGGGAAAATAGTCACTAGCAGAATAGCATGAAGGAGGTTAGACAGGACACATGTTCCTGCTCAGCTTTTCACAGCTGAGACCTGCTCTGTAGCTTGTAACTCTTGTTACCTGAATAATTCCTGTGTGTATTTACTATGATATGCAATGTTGAGAGTTACTCCCCCATGAACAGGATCAGCAAAGAGGCTGAGAGATGAACAGGACATGGAGACTTCACTTTTTCAGCTATGATCTGGATCGGAAGTTATCGGAGAAACTGGGCTGAAAAGGTTGTTCTCTCATGGCTGCCCAGCCTCTGTAAGTGCCCTGGAAACCCTGGACAATGCCGAGTCCCACACACCAAGCAATTCTGCTGTGCTTCATCATGACAGCAAGGATTACATTATAAGATTACAAAGCAACCTGTGTAAAAGCAGGAAGAGATTCCCTGTCCCTCATAGAACTTGACTTCAGAGACACTCATCTCGGTGAAAATTCAAACAGATTAGAAATGAGAACAAGTAAGACCTTTACTCTGCAAGAAAAACAATATTTACAGTGATAAAGATAAGTCACTCCCATGCTTCAGGGCATACCCTCCTGCCAGGATAAGGAGGGAATTTCCTTTGAGATTCTTTGTGGCCCTCCAGCTCTGGTACTGTGATGCAGTCGTG